AAAAAAAAAAAAAAAAAAAAAAAAAAGAGGTTCCTGAGAAAAGAGGTTCCTTTCTTTAAAATTCTCTTTCCTTCTGCAGCAAGAGAGAAGAAGGGCTTCTTTTCCAAGATCACAGACAGGAGAAAGTGTGTTGAGTAGGACAGAGTGTGTGATTCAGGGCCCTGCAGAAGCCGAGTCCTCATGAGCCTGCCCCAGGCTCGGGAGCAGCCTCCACCCTTGTTCCTGCTCTTTCTTCTGATTTCTTATTACTCAGCACAGCTCTCATAGCAGGAAGTAGAAAGCACTATTCCTAAGGTCACTTTTATTCCTTTTACCAAAAGGAAAAGGTCAACATCTGAAGCTTGTGATAACTGCAGACTATTTTTTCCTCCTTGTGTAAAGTAACCATTAGCACACCTACACATCATGGGGCTAAAATAGGGAATCTCCACAAACACCCAAAGACAGACCAAGAGACTGAGCAGCAGTGGGCCGAACCAACGTCCTGCAGAGAGACAGAGCTGCGCCCTTTGCCAGTGACCACAGTGAGCACAGTATGGGTGGGGTGTGGGGCACAGCAGAGCACGACGCCATGTTCCCTTCTTCCTATGGGGAAATCCTCCACTCCATCATTTTCCAGTCTTTAAATAATTAAGTCCCAGAAAACGACAGGTTTCACTTTGTAAGTGAAAGACTCAGTGAGCAAGACCAGAACATGGCCTGATGCTCCCCCAGCTGCTAAGGCTATGTACTTCCCACAGACTGCACAGCTCCCGCCCCCAACCCCCCACCTCCCATGGTGCTGCCCTGACTGTGCTGGAACACAGGGCCACACAGGGGCTTGTAGTTACTTCTCAAGCTGTCTCAGCCTCTGCCGCAGCTCCTGGGTGGCGATCGGCAAAGAGATGTCCGAGGCTATGCTTGGGGTAGGTTCCTTGACCGAGATGTGGCTCGGGGACGCCAGCAGGCTGGAGGAACTCCTGCCCAGGTCCTGTGGGCCCTGAGGGCCGGCCTCAGGCAGCTGGGCTCTTTCTTCCATACTGGGCTTCTCACTACCCCCAAGGACTGGGGTGGATGGAGATGTGCTGCTTCCACTGGGGCCTGGAGATGCAGACATCTGAGACCTGACAGAGATTTTCCTCCCTTCTTTGGAAACAGAGGGCCGTTTTACTTGAGCTGAATGTTGGTGGTCTGGGGGCTTTTCTTGCTTTTCGAGATGGAGTACCTAGAGGTGAAAGTAAAAATAGAAGTTAAAATTAGTGACATTGGTCATATCCTGATATTTACACAGCTTGAGATATGATGCATTCATTTGCAAACCTTTTGTTAAAAATTTTCTCAAGACATTAAAAGAAAATCTAGTCTATCTGTCCAGCTATCCAGTTATTAAAGTAATGTCATATAACAGAAAGTGCAGAAAAAATCAAGTTTAACTAATCATAGTATCACTTCTGTAGTAAAAACACCATTTCTCTTTGGTGGATGGGGTGGAGTCTCACTCTGTGGTCCTGGCTAGAGAGTGGCGGTCTCATCACAGCTCTCAGCAGCCTCTGCTCCTGCCCTGGCCTCCTGAGTAGCTAGCATCACAGGTGCCCACCACCACCACACCCTGTCAAACACCATTTCTGTGTGTTCCTCTTAGTCTCATCCATTTGCCTGTGGCTGTACACATTTCTGCGGTGATGTTTTCCTGGGAGCGTCCAGAGTCACATGCCCTTGACAGAGACCAAATCCCCTGCCCTCCACGGGGGTTTCCTTCAGAGCCCTGCAGGGAGGAAGAAAGCACATCTCCAGCAAGACCACCGCCAACAACCCAGCGTGAGAGTGAGGGTGGGCACAGACACCGGGCTCACGTGTCTTTCAGCCAAGAGCATGTGTGTGCCACGGCATCCTGCTGAGTCTGCACTTGGTAAACCCTCCACTCGGGGGTGACTGATAGCCTGGAGTTTTTCCTGGTTTTATGAAGTAAAGCAGCAATAAACATTTTTCACGTTCAAGGTTTCCTGTACTTTGAACATATTATCACCAAAAGTCAGATTTCTTCAGAAAGGGCCCCTGGTAGAAGGGCCTTCAGAGCTGCAGATGGGGACACAGCAGCCTCTTCTGGAAAGGACCTGCTGACACCATTCTTGCCAGAAGCAAGGAGGTCATTTCCACTGCACCAACAGATGCAGTCTGTTTTAATTATTCTTTGAAAGTTGGCTTTTCATTTTAGTTTGCATCTGTTAGATTCCCCATATGTGTGCTGGTTTTATTTTCAACATTTCTTTAGGTATTTACAAATACATCACAGTCTATTTTGGACAGTTTTTCTTCTGTAAGTTCTACCCTCCTGTAGAGTTTTATTAAATTCTCTCCCCTGGGCTAGGCGCCTGTGGCTAAAGTGGCTAAGGCGCCAGCCACATACACCTAAGGTAGTGGGCTCAAACCCAGCCTGGGCCCACCAAACAATGACGGCTGCAACCAAAAAATAGCTGGACGTTGTGGTAGGCGCCTGTGGTCCCAGCTACTTGGGAGGCGGAGGCAGGAGACTCGCTTGAGCCCAGGAGTTGGAGGTTGCTGTGAGCTGTGATGTCATGGCACTCTACCCAGGGGAACAGCTTGAGGCTCTGTCTCAAAAAAAAAAAAAAAAAAAAAATTCTCTCCCCTAAATAATCTTTAAAAATTTAACTTTAGGAGAAAACTTTGTTGATATGGATAGTAATGCTTCCTAGGCCAAAGGGTAAATGGTGGCCAGCCAGTTCTCTGGGGCTTGAGAGCCTGGGAACACTGCTCTGCTCTCTGTCCAGCCTCCCTCAGCCCTCCTGAGTCCACGAGACACCTTCTCCCTCAAATGTCACTTCCCCGGTCCCAGCATCACGGCTGTCACTGTCCTCCCATCTGCTTCTCTGATCCCAGCATCACAGCTGTCATCGTCTTCTCATCTGCTCTGTGCCGGGGCCCAGGACCATCACTCCCACTCCCTGTGTTTGTGGTGGAAGGTGGCGCAGTACCCTGAGGGCAATCTTCATTTTGATGGTGCTGTTGGGGCCTGAGTTGCTGAGGTGGAATCGCTGGTTCAGGGTCATGTCATCGCTGGCGAGCAGCTGGCTGAGGGGGACTTTCAGGCTGCCCAGGGAGCACTGGTGCTGCTCGTCTCTGACCTGCAGGACGAAGGCAGAGAGCACAGAAAATGCAGAAAGGGCCACAAGTCAGTCTCAGGAAGACATGAAAAAACTCCAAACATACTTCATCCCTGTTCTTTTAAGTGGCGTTTCCATAAACAATTAAAATACTGTGGGACTTCCTTAGGAAGATGTAAACCAATGTAAAAAACACAATGTTACCGTGTGTACCTGCCTGCACGTCCTCATTACAGAATCATGCACAACAGGAACATGTATTTCATGAGTCTGTTCAAGAGCTCAAGTTCGTGGTGGTAGCTACACGCACCTGAAGACTACAAAGAGGCACCTCCCTCCCCAGTGAGGGCGACCGCAATACACGTGAGGGTATGCAGTCTCTACCAATGACACTTACTTATGGAGAAAGTACATTTCCAAGGGTTTTTAAAGACTTCCTTATTTAAAATTTATATGTCTTTTAAGAAAATGCACAAAATTTGCTTTAAATGCATGGCAGTTTCTTTATTCCCAGAATACTAACTCTCAGCACTCCCTGTGTGCCAGGAATCATCTCCATTACGCCTTCTCAACACCAAGGAGCTTCATTAAACAGAGTGAGGCTCAGCAGGACTCACAGCTATGCAAAGATGGCCAGAGAAATAATAGGTAACTGTGCAGGAAAACTCAGAATACTGTTTTTTGTTTTTTGGGTTTTTTTAAACTATAATCACACAGCACTTTTTTTTTTGAGACAGAGTGTTAGTTTGTCACCCTGGGTAGAGTGCTGTGGCATCACTGCTCACAACAAGCTCAAATTCTTGGGCTCAGGCTTGGTGCCTGTGGCTCAAGCGGCTAAGGCACCAGCCACATACACCTAAGGTGGCGGGTTCGAATCCCCAGACCGGGCCTGCCAAACAACAATGATGGCTGCAACCAAAAAATGGCCAGGCATTGTGGCGGGCGCCTGTGGTCCCAGCTACTTCGGAGGCTGAGGCAGGAGACTCGCTTGAGCCCAGGAGTTGGAGGTTGCTGTGAGCTGTGATGCCATGGCACTCTACCCAGGGGGATAGCTTGAGGCTCCGTCTAAAAAAAAAAAAAAAAATTCTTGGGCTCAAGTGATCCCCTAATCTCAGCCTCCTAAGAGGCTGGACTACAGGTGCCCACCACAATGCCTGGCTATTTTTAGAGGTGGGGAGTCACTCTTGCTTAGGCTGGTCTCAAACTCATGAGCTCAGGCAATCCACCCACCTCAGCCTCCCAGAGTGTTGGGATTACAGACATGAACCACCGTACCTGGCCCCACAAAAGCACTTTTATTTTATTTTTTATTTTTTTTTTTGAGACAGAGCCTCAAGCTGTCCCCCTGGGTAGAGTGCTGTAGCATTACAACTCACAGCAACCTCCAACTCCTGGGCTCAAGCGAGTCTCCTGCCTCCGCCTCCCAAGTAGCTGGGACTACAAGCACCCGCCACAACGCCCAGCTATTTTTTGGTTGCAGCCGTCATTGTTGTTTGGCGGGTCCGGGCTGGGGATTCGAACCCGCCACCTTAAGTGTACGTGGCTGGCGCCTTAGCCCGTTGAGCTATAGGCGCCGAGCCCAAAAGTACTTTTAAATAAATAACTCTGACAATGTTTATAGAACCTTAAATGTCTGAGATCCAGTAAGTACAGATTATTTTAAGAATATGGGCCAGGCATGGTGGCTCTCTAGGAGGCTGAGGGAGGAGGATCACCTGAGCTCAGGAGTTCAAAATTAGCCTCAGCAAGAGTAAGATCCTGTCCCTAAATGAAAATAAAGAAAAAATAGTATTTTTGTATAACACAGAATGTGAAAAGTGAAACAACAAACAGAATAGTGAAACAGGACCAGGGAGCTTGGTATGGCTGTTCAGGCACCTATTAACAGAGGTTTAAGGTGCATGAGGCAAAAATGGAGACTGAGGAAAAAAAGACAAATTTCCAATTACTGGCAGAGATTTAAACACCACACTTTTTTTTTTTTTTTTGAGACAGAGCCTCAAGCTGTCGCCCTAGGTAGAGTGCTGTGGCATCACAGCTCACAGCAACCTCCAACTCCTGGGCTAAAGCAATTCTCTTGCCTCCCAAATAGCTGGGACTATAGGCACCCACTACAACACCCAGCTATTTTTTGGTTGTAGATGTCATTGTTGTTTGGCAGGCCCAGGCTAGATTTGAACCCACCAGCTCACGTGTATGTGGCTGGTGCCTTAGCCACTTGAGCCACAAGCACTGAGCCACACCATACTTTTAATACCTGACATAACAGGTGAACTGAAACACTTTATGGCTCTAGAGGGCCTGAGCGATACTCCCCAGCACTGCCCCAAGCACAAGGGCACCGTGCTCACAGGTGCATAGGGTACCAGACAGACAACACTCTGGGCACATAACCAGCCTCCAGCGAGAGAGGACTCAGGTCACACAAAATGTATGCTCTGAGCACCAGGGGCTGAGAGGAGAATTGGTAACAGAAAATCAGTAGCAAATTCCCAAACACTGGCTTGGTGCCTATGGCTCAAGTGGCTAAGGAGCCAGCCACATACACCTAAGGTGGCGGGTTCGAATCCAGCCCAGGCCCACCAAACAACAATTACGGCTGCAACCAAAAAATAGCCGGGCGTTGTGGTGGATGCCTGTGGTCCCAGCTACTTGGGAGGCTGAGGCAGGAGACTTGCTTGAGCCTAGGAGTTAGAGGATACTGTGAGTTGTGATGCCACAGCACTCTACCCAGGGGGATAGCTTGAGGATCTGTCTCAAAAAAAAAAAAAAAGAAAAGCAAGTAAAACTCAAAGCAGAAATGAAACAGTAATAGTCATAGTATAAATCAGTGAAATAATCAAGAGGAAAGCAATTATTACAGCAAAATAAAAAGCGGCATCTTTGAGAAAATAAAGTTGATGAGCCTCTTCTAAGATTGACTAGGAAGAAAAGGAGAGGACACAGAAATTACTGATGTCTAGAATGGAGAGCAGAGGCCTACCAGTGGACATCAGGGAATATTGTGAATAACTTTGTGCCAAAAAGTTCTCAGGCCCGGCGAGGTGGCTTATGCCTATAATCCCAGCACTCTGGGAGGCTGAGGTGGGTGGATTGCCTGAGCTCACAGGTTCAAGACCAGCCTGAATCAGAGCAAGACCTCATCTCTAAAAATAGTCGGGCAATATAGTGGGTGCCTGTAGTCCCAACTACTTGGGAGGCTGAGGCAAGAGAATCGCTTAAACCCAAGAGTTTGAGGTTTCTGTGATCTGTGACGCCACAGCACTCTACCCAGGGTGACACAGTCAGACTTTGTCTCAAAAAAAAAAAAGAAAAAAGTAAAAACTCTTAACAAAATTTCAGAGATTGAATAAAAGGTAGGGCCAGATGGGCTCACCCTTGAAGTAAGGTTTTCTGAAGAGGTTTTCAAATGTTAAACGCTGAATACTAAATATAGGTTTACAAGGGTTAAATCTGAACATTAACCACAGTGTCCATGAAATTGGTGTACAATTTAAATAGCTGTCTATTTTAAGCTGCACACAAATTTACACCAGTGTATCACCACATTTAAGACTTAAAAAGAAAAACTATAATCATCTTGATAGATGCAGAGAAGCCTTTAATGAAATCAGGTAACCATTCACAGTAAAACCCCCTACGAACTGGTATTAGGAGAGAAGGAAACTTTCTCAACCAGATAAAAGGCATTTCAGGACACCTCTAGCCACTTGGGGCTCAGTAGGGACATGGCCAGAGCGCCCCTCACACCATCTCTACACAGAGGCCCTGGGCACGGCAACAGGCAAAAGGGGAAAGGGCAGGTGTAGGCGTCACACGGGCGATGGTGTGACTGCCAGGGCAGAAAACACTAAGGCATCTTCACAGAGGCTGCTGGTACCACACAAAACTCAATTGCATTTCTACACAGCAAAATAATTTGAAAGTAAGAAAAAATATTTTATAATATCGTCAGAAAGTATTAAATACCTAGGGGTATGTATGACAAAGTTAGGTGTATACTATCTGTATAGCATGTCAAGAACTACAAAACGCTGCTGAGAGAAATTAAAGAATCCTTAAATAAATGGAGAATATAGTGTCTCCATGGTATTGCTAAGACGTCCACTCTGCCCATTTGATCTGTAGTTTCAATGCAATTCTTGTCAAAATTATAGCAGATTTTCTACAGAAACTGGCAAGCTAGTACTCAAATGCATATGGGAATAAAGACTTAGATCAATCAAAGCAATTTTTAAAAATAACAAAGTTTGAGGCCTTAAATATTTGATTTTTAGATTTATTTATAAAGTACTCATAATAAAAACAGGGCAGTGCTCCATAAAGACAGACATACAGAATGATGGGACAAAGGCGTTCCAGAAACAGATCTGCATGGGTACAACTGACTGTCAGCGAAGCTACAGAGTGACAGAGTGGGGCACAGGAACACCCCTAATCAAAACTGCTCAACTGTGCAGCCACACGAAACAGTAATTCCCCACCCTTAACTTAGATCGTAAACAAAATGAACTCAATATGGACTCAGAGCCACATGTAAGGTCAAGAGCACAAAATCTCCAGCGGTCAGAAGTGACCCAAGGGTTGGCAAATGCATCTTTTTTTTTTTTAATGATTTTCTATAATTTATTATAATTGATAGCCTTTTGGTGGAAGCTCTAAGTCCATAAAGAATATAGGTAATAAAAATGTCTCTACTTTTTTCTCCCAGCATTATCATTATAATTCTAATCTGCCTGGGAGTTAGGGACCGCAGCGTCACCTGTAGAATGCTCACTGTTAGACATATGAAGTGACCTGCTGCCTCTTTCACCCTCTCCCACACTTGTTTGCGCTTGTCAGAGGTCAGGGTATTAGCAAATCTGGATGAGGTGGTGTTGAGTGCTGGTTAGAGCACCTTGGCCGATGGACACAAGTCCATGTGATGATGAGTGCTGGGAGTGCGAGAGGAGGATAGGGAGCCCCCAGGAGCTAAAACCCCGTGGAGGGGGTGGAAGCTATCCTTGGGAGCATTCCCTAATTATATCCTGCTTCTGACACCAGATGAAAGGGTGGCACTGGACTGGCAGAGATCCCACAGATCACCAAGGCTTGTACGAAAGGTCTTTATTGGTGGGAGAGGGATGCTGCAGAGCAACACTAAGGAGGAGAGAAAAGAGGAGAGAAAAAAGGAGAGAGAGAGAGAGGAGAGAAAGAGGAGAGACAGAGGGGAGAGAGAGAGGAGATGGGAGATGGGAGAGAGAGAGGGGAGAGAGAAAGGAGAAAGGAGAGGGGAGAGAGAGATGGGGAGAGAGAAAGGAGAGGGGAGAGAGAGATGGGGAGAGAGAAAGGAGAAAGGAGAGGGGAAGAGAGAGAGGAGGGAGAGAGAGGAGAGAGAGAGAGGAGAGAGAGAGGAGGAGAGAGAGGAGAGAGGAGAGGGGAGAGAGAGAGAGGAGAGAGAGAGGAGAGAGAGAGGGGAGAGAGA